AATTACAAGATTCTTCAGTACAGAGGAGGGTTTGAATAAAATAATGGAAAATATCATCAGCTTAGAGATTTAAGGTAGAATTTTTGTCCCATTTTTAGTGACAATTTATCTTTGAGCTTTCAGGTGAGCTTTGGGCTTCTAGTAGGTACAGAAAGAGGATGGTATCAAGCAAAACAGTGTATGAATAGTAATGGATACATAAAATACCTCATCAAGATATCTACCTGGTGTTTAGCTGCTAACATTATTTGAAGATGTCACCTTGAGACAAACCAAAATAGGGCTAGAGATTGTACTTATATGTATGTCTGTAAACAAACTGACAGCCTTGCTTACCTTGTTGAGACCTTTTGTGCCCCATGAACACTGAGCTGTCAGCCAGGAATGATTTAATCTTGCCCACCTACTTGTGTAATACAAATAACGTAACATTATAGTATTAATTCAGTCTCAAAACTGCAAAATTAAAACCAATTTCATGTCAGCCATGTTTACAATATTTCTATTCAGGTTTAATGTATATGGCATAGCTGTTAGCAAAAACTAGTTCAGTAGAGCAAGCCTTGTATGTATTTTAGACAGTCAAAGTAATTTTAAAAAGATATTTAAAAACTTTACTTTTCGCATGCTTGAAGGTGCAATCTTTATGATGTATTCGTATGACTTTTGTGTTAGGAATAGCCGAATGTTAGGTCTCTAAATCCGTGTTAAAGACAGCCAGTACCTCATTTCTCATAACATTCTTTATTGCTATATACACCAATGACTGTATGACAAACCATGAACTCAGAAAGTTGTTACTTGGCCAATGAACCACATGAACTTGTGGGTTCTGGTTCGAAGTTCTCTCTCTCAGTGGAGTTCAGAAACTGCCATGTAAGTCATTTTTAACCACCTTCTGTAGTATAGTTGACAAAACAGGGCACGTTGCACTTGCGATCTCTGAGTGTCTTAAGAAATATCTTGACAGTTGATATAACATTGATCAGCAGTTCTGCTATCTCAGAATTTTTGTGCTTTTTTTCTCAGAGCTAGCATGTGTGTTATTATCTGCTACTCCTATTTTTTCTATTATTCTGTTGTGTTATTTTCTTACACAGGTTTTTTTTAATCTTGTTTTTAGAATCTCATAAATGACTAGAAAAGAAAAATAAGGAGGAAAAATGTGTCTCTGTTGACACAGCTTCTTAAGCTCCTTGGTATATAAACCAAACCTGTATTAATAATTCTAAAGAGCTGCTGAATTATTAGTTAGGAATACGTTAGCTTTCTTCTTGAACTTCGTATTGATAATCTGTTATGAGTGATTTTGCCAGCACTAAAACTTAGTAGCATATTGCTAAATCAGAGTCTGTCTCTAATGCAAGTCTGATAACTCTGCACCTCTGTAAAGGTCTGTTTTGATAAAGGAGCAGCAGAAATAGGAACTCTCCTGTTTCGCTTTGTGCGGTCTCTGCCACGACTGAGCATGCTGTTGGCAGTTGCTGGCAAGCTTGCAAGGTGTTCTGTGTAGATGTGGCAATATTCCCACTCGCTACCCAGTGCCATCCTGTGAAAGCTTAGGACACGTTGCAGAAATGTTAATTGTCGTGGAAAATGTGGAGAGCTGAAATCCAGAGCATGCTTAAGGGGCACGCGGCAGGGCCAGGTCCGTGCCTGTCCGAAGACTTGCTCCCTTGGAGAGCTCCATACCTCTCTGACGAGATAGACGTGGATCATTCATGCGCTACTGTGATAGACTGGCAGACTTGTAACCTTGGGAAATCCCTTCGCAGCTCTCTCTTCCCGTGATTCTGGGGTGAAATATGCTCCACTGAGGGTCAGTTTTTGCCTTGGGCAAATGAGAGATCTTCCTTTGCAGTGAGAATACACATGGTAAATATTTCCAGCCGGTAAAACCATGGCTGTTCCTCTCAGTTTATTTCTTTGTATGGCAAGCTTTCAGCCTCTTGAAATACGTTTAGGCTCAGATGGAAGGAAATATGCAGTCATTTTCTGGCATTTTGATTAAAATGCTTGGGGAATGGAGGGCTTTTCAGATCCTATCCATCTTTATTAAATTCCCAAATAGCTGCAGCACAAAGGTCCATTAAGGTCATGGTTGTTCCTAAAGAAGGCATGGTAGGGCTTATTTATTATCACCCTACTAACAGGTATCCAGACCAGGAATAATGAGAACAGCCTTTCTTATCCTGTTTTTTGTATATTCAGGAAATACAACAGCTGAGAGAGGAGACGTAAGGAACAGTTGCTATGAAAAATTTGTGAGCACCTCAGTCAGCAACTAGAATTCACTTCTATGAAGAAGGCACTGCATTGTATTTCATGTATGTTACCCTATATCTTCAAAAGTAGTATGTCTAGTAAACAGCATTCAGTTATAAACACTGTTGCTCCCAAGTATTGCTCATGAGTCATAGAGTCAGAAATTCCATTTTGATGAGTTTTTCCCAAAATGGTGTCTTGAACAAGGATCTGAGATCCAGATAGGTGCAAAGGCATGTGAAGTAACCTTTTAACCCAACGGCAAGAGAAGCATTTAAATCCACTTGGAAAGAAATTATCCCAAAAATCTTTATCTAGAACAAATGATGCTGTAGGTCTCTATATTGTGTGAGGTGGCTCAGCATAGTCCTTGGACTGCTATTTTGCAGTGATCCAAACAATGATATTTTATTTTATAAGGGATATAGAAGAATTGTTTCTCCAGTAGAGAAGAGGGGAAGAGTTTGGAGAAAGCATAGACTGAAATCTTCCACCCTTTACCCCAAGTTAGGTTGATCTGTCTCATCTTCCTCTCCTTCCTCCCCCACAGCTGTCAGCTATAGAGAAAAGAATCTTTCATTGTTATTTCCAAAAGTATAATTGCATTATGGAAATTAGGTTCAGAAGACTTGCAAATTTGGGGGAAGGCTGGAGTAATCTGTGAGGAAATTATTAGTCTGACTGTAATATGTAGCTGTGATAAACTTCTAAGAAAAACCCAAAGATAATGTAGATGCTATAATTCTTGCTGTCTTGATTAACAAACTGCATAGAACTTGCTGTAGAAATCTGGTAGTTTCTGGAAAATTACGTGGGATAGACACTTTGCAACAAATATTTTGTTGCATCTGTGTGTTAGACTTTCAGTGTTTAGTTATGAAATGGATGCTGGGTATGCTACATGCTGTGTTTTTAAGAAATACATTTGTATTAGAGTTGTAGTTCAGCTCATGAGCACACTCTTGAAGTGAACCTCTTGGCCACCCTTTCTTACCATATGTTAATTCACCTTGTGGAGTCTCTTGGACTTCACTTCTTTCAGAAAGGGTGCTCTGCAGAAGTGCAGCTAATGTTCTCCAGCTGCCGATGGGTGCTCACTCCTTGGGACAAGGCTAAACCTTGTGTGAATAACCCCCTCAAAGTGCCTAAACTGTGGATACCGTCCCCTCTGCACCAACTATTTCCCTCCATGAAACTTTTCTTACTGTGTTGCGCTGCTTGCTAATGCAGATGTAGCAGAGGTTTTTTGTGGAGCTAGTATTGATCTCCCGAGTTAGCGTGTGCAAACAGAACATCCTGCGTGAGAACCAAAAGAAAACAGTGGGCGATTAGTAAAATCTTGAAAGATTGCATATAAATCCCTTGGATGAGGTCGGGTGAAGGAAATAGGCAAGCAGAAATAAGACTTTGGACTGGCAAGGAGAGGAAAGGTCCTTTGTCAAAAGGGGAAAGTGCCTCTCCCTCATCCTTTCCAAACCTGGCACCAAAAGGGTTTCTGCTGGTGATGGTTGCGATTCCTTAACACATATGTATAGACAAACATACATGCATACACACATCCCCCTATGTCAAGATGACACTAAGGCTTTGCGTGCCAAATGGGGTGCGGTTTATCTTGGTTTTCTCAAATTCACTTTCTGCAGTGTTACTGAACTGAACTGCCTCGCTGAAAGGTCAGGTACGCGCCAGCTCTGGTGCGTGGGAAGCGATGACTGTGTATGTCAACAAGAGCAAAAGTGGTGGGACATTGGTAGTAAGATCAGCTCCGTTGTTTTCTGAAACATCATCCTTGGTTGCTTTTGGTGCGGTGTCACTCCAAAAGCTAGGTATGTAGAAATGGATTTGAGAGATTGCCGTGCGGACCTGGGACTAGGTGTTGTGCCTCTTTGCATCCATGCCAGGTCAGCCCCATCCTTCCTCCATGGATCAGAAGACTTGTTACTGAGGTTGCGCTGGAGTAACAGGAAGGGAAATTTGTTTATTTACTTGAGACTTTTAATGAAGTAATTAATTAAATTTAATTCTGAAGGAGCATGAACCAGGAGAGAATCCCTCTAACCCTCATTCTTTTTTACTCTCTGACAGCCACGTTGGGTCGCGGGTGCATAGGGAATAAACCATAAAAGCATTCTTTGAAGTATCTGGTGAGGACTGTGTCCCCTTTGTTTATTCAGGGTTGCTGAGTATAAAGCTAGGTTTCATTTTGAGAGGAGAAAGCCACCACGAGGAAAGTGTTTTACTTCATCACAAATTCTCACTTTTCCTCTGAAAAGGTATTTGAATAGAAAAAAAAAAATTGAACATCCCTGAGAGAAACCCATTTAAAAATTATTTCCTTTTTTGCCTCATTCAAATTGCTGTCTTTCAAGCCTGTAAATGTCTGTGTGACCTGATCTAAATGTGGACCCTTATTGTTGGGTCTGCAGGATTAAGAGGAATCAGGACAGGTGCAGAGAGTTGCATGGGGACTTCTGGTTTGTTACAGTGGCTCTTATTCCTTGGGGGACAGAAATAACCCTCTTGATCATTTTATATGTATGTGTAAATCATAGCTGCCGGTACTTTGCATTGTTTGTATACACAAATACATAAAATGCAAAATACCCATAGCCATGATTTAAAACAATTTTGGCAGATTTTTGTTTTATTGAATTTGTGGCTGCAGTGAGTGTGTGTGCATGCGTGTGCAACAATATTAGGTGCATATAGAATATATTTTATTTATATTTCTATAGTTAAAACAGAACCAATGAGCAGCAGTGAGATTGCTACTACTACTACCACAGACGGGTCTTTAGACAATTTCTCAGGATCAGGTAAGGAATAAACAAAGGTTTTAAGCTCAGCATTTTTTTTTATTTATTGTTTTCTTATCCCATGTGGTCTAAACCTGTGCACAGCCGTTAAAAACTCTTGTGCACTTTGCAGCTTTTGCCTATTTCTGTTTGTCTTACTCAGACAGTGTAAGTCAATAGTTTTCCCCAAGTAAGGAGCATTACAGCATCAGGCTTATTGATGTCCATGGGTGTCTTCCGTGGGAGTCTCACTAGGGAGTATTCTGGCCCAGAGTAATTACTCTCTTGTTTTCTGTGAGTAAACATACCTGCCTCTGTGATTAGTGCTGTCATTGAGGGGTAGGTCTTCCTCATTTATTGTAATTTATTATTATCAAGGTATTCGTTCTTTTGTCAGGCTTTTTTTTTCTTCCTGGAAGCCAAACACGTCTTAGCTGCTAACCCACAGGAGACGAACACTGTGAGAAAATCCTAAGATGTTTGCACAGTTTTGCATACCTATGGATTAACTGTGGTATTTCTAGCACATTGTTTTTATGGTGCAAATCAAATTAAAAAAAGGATTATATTTCCAGAGTAGCAAAATTTGACATCTCGCTACCGGTCAGGCTCCAAGTAGCCAACCCCTTTCTGGTCTTGTCACAGCCTCCGCTTTCTGCGCATGCTGTTGAGTGTGAAAGTATCAAACCTGAAAGGCAAAAAAAAAAAACAAACTGGTTTCTAGAGTATTTTATATCTCTCAAAGCAGAAAGGGTGGTGTGTTTAAGAGTACCTACGTCCATCTGTCGTGACCTGAGTGGAGGTCGGACCGTAACATTTGAGGTATTTGCAGCCTCCCAGGCCACAGAAAAGGGAACTATCAGGTGCGGACGGCACGGAAAGTGATTCCCTGCTTCCCTCCGTGCTTCGCGAGCACTCCCGGCGTGTAAGGATGATGGATTTTCCCTGTAGTTGGCCAGGAAAGGGGTAGCTGGCGAAGGGTAATTATCCGTGCCTTGTTTATTTCCAAGTACTTAGCAATAGGGCCTGTTGTTTCTCCGGCTGTCTGATTTTACAGTAGCCTCATAACCTGCCGCTGACCCCTTTCTGGCAAAGGCTTCACAACCCACCTGGGGACCTAGAGAAGAAATGGCCCCCAAAGGGTAACCAGAGAGGGAAGGGCTCCCGAAAATAACGCCCAGAGCGGAGCGCGCCGGCACATCGGCCGCGCTCTCGGCAGCACCCAAAAATACCGAAAGAAGTTGGGGTGTGTCGGCGTAAAGCCCCGTGTCAGCAGCGGCCGGGCTGCCGGCGAGGAGCGCGCCCTTCAGCCGCCTGGGCTGGGGCGTTTCGCCGGGAAGATTTGCACGTTGGTCGTGACACCTCTGTGCAACTCCGGGTGCTTTGAAGGTCTGAAAGCATTTTGGAAAGCAGATAAGGTGGGGGAAGAGAGAAGGAAGCGTAATATGGGGATACGTCATCTGCATTATGGAATTATTTTTTTAAAAAAGGGGCACGTGCTCTGAAGCTGGCCATATGTTTTCGATCAAGGCACGCATAAAGCTCCTTCATAAAATGTAGGTCTTAAAAATTCTAAAAGTTAATAAAATGTTGCACTTGAGATATCAATAATCCTTTGAAAATATGAAGGGAAATGTTTCCATTAGGAAATAGGTTGTTTGCATTGAAAATGTTGTCTGTGTGCGAGCAAAGAATAAACTATTGCTCAGGAGTTGTACAAAGGGGCAATTTAGGTATTTGAAATTTGTAATCAAGATTTTAATGTTAAGCATTCTTGTATGGTTCCTGATAAAATATTATTTTCTATCTAAGGTATCAATGATATTTGAATTTAATTAAAATCTTGTTAATACTCTGAAATTCTATTAGGAAAAATAATATTTATCTTTGGTGTGTGTATTTACACTTCTGTGTGCTTTCTTTTCTCCTTGGTGCAGCAATTGGAAGCAGTGGTTTCAGCCCAAGACAAACACACCAGTTCTCCCCACCACAGATTTACCCTTCCAAGTATGATATCTTTTAAAAATAATAATAGTAGTAGTAATAATAATAATAACTGAAATAGGCAGATTTTAACCTCATTTAAAATAATAATTGGGTCCATCTGTTAAATCATAATTTAGACTGCAGCAGCTTCTAGGGAAAAAAAATATTTATTTTTTTAAATGCTAAGAATGTATTTGAAAAATATTTGGAAAGTTCTCATTTTACTTATTCTTTTATTATTGATTTCTTACTGTTGTTTTGCCTTTGTCTTACGGTTTCTGTTGGTTAGCACAGCCTATGATTATGTGTTAAGGGAAGTAGCTGGGTTATAATAAGGCTAAAAATAAGTACGTGCATGTCTGTCTAACGCAGCGTCTGTCCTATTCTCTGTCATTTGTAATCAATAGCAGGCCATACCCACATATCCTTCCTACCCCCTCTTCGCAAACGATGGCTGCGTATGGGCAGACACAGTTTACGACGGGGATGCAACAAGCTACAGCTTATGCCACCTACCCCCAGCCTGGCCAACCCTATGGAATCCCTTCATATGGTAAGAAAGCACATGCGTGTGATTTTATTCCAGAGGTAAATATTTTTTAGAAGAAGATCACCATTGACCCTCGTGTTAGTGCTTAGTGGGACAGCCGTGCTCTCAAGCATTTCTTGTGGAAGGCTGGTAATTTCCCCTTTGGAGCGATGCTTAGTTTGTGTATTAAAGAGCTAAGAAGCTGCTCAAGAGGGTGACTGTTTTGGGATCAAGGAGAGAGATTCACTAGGTTTTTATTGGTGATATAAAAAAACCCTCCACCTCAGCACTGAAATGGGAAAAGAGATCGAGGGACTTCCATTACACAGGCACAGCTCCCGATGACTTGCCGAGGAGCTCTGCTCTCCAGCAACGCAGCAGCGTAAGTGGGTACATAAAGGACTGAATTTCAGCTGATCCAGATTATTGGAACCCAAGTGCATCAGTGAAGCTGTGCTGATCTTCAGCAGGTGAAAAACTGATTCAAAAAGACACCCCCCCCCCCCAAAAGTCTCACTTTCAATGTTTTAAAATTCTCTGGAGGTGAAAATTGAGGTAAATTGCCACTAAATTTCTGTCTGCCTGATGAAGGAGATAGTACTAAGTAGCAAATATTTCCAAAAAAATTTAATTTAAAAACAAGCTGCTGTGGGTGAGACCATTTTGCTGCCAGACTGTCTGCTGGCAGACCACATAGCAGTTCAGCAGCGAGGATGCATTATTAGAAAATAGGTCTTACATTCCTCTCGGGGAATATATTGAAAATATACAATCCACATACTTTTAGCAGTATATTTTGTAAAGATACATTCAGATAATGTAAGTTTTATACCAAAAGGACAGAGCTCACATTACAAGCTGTGCCCCTTAAAATCATTAAAACTTTTAAGTGCAAAACTGGTGAACCTTTCATTCTGAAATCTGCAAGTTGAAATCCACTGGGTCTCAAATGTATCCTACATCAGGTTACTCTGGGCAACAGGTACAAGAAGTAGATGATTATTTCTCTTTAAGAAATTATGTTTCATTAATATATCATCAATAATTATGATCCAAGGAAGCGTTCTTCCTGTGGCTACAGCCTTGATTACTTACCGCCAAAAATATGGTTATATTGGATCCATTTGGGTCCAATGGATTATTGGATGTTTCAATTTCATTTCCATTCCACAAATTTTAAACTTACACAAACAAAATACTTTATGGACATTTAAACTACATTTTCAAGACTACGGAGATGGGGATTCTTCCCTCCTCAAGCTCGTGTTGCCGATGAGAGCCTTGTCTGCTATTTCCAGCTGGATCAGGTGGTGTGATAACAGACAACCCCTTTCCCCGCTGCGTTCTTCTTGACCCGTTGCTCCTGTGGGCACCTCGTGTTCGTACTTGGCTGGCTGCGGTGGCTTGGGCAGCCCAAACAGTGACTTTTTTGTGTTTTTTGCTGGGTTCCTCTGGACGAAATCCTGACCTCACTGAAGTCAACTATAAAACTCCCACTGACTTCAGCAAGGCCTTGAATTCACTACTTGAGTTTAGCTGTCTCGCTGTCATCGGAGCTGTAATTGAGAGTTGCTTTACTTGGCAACTGCTCGCCGGGGGTTAACGTGCCTGCCTGCTCTTTTGTTTTGGTTTGGTTTTTTTGCCCAGTCCATCCCCCGTGCCTAGGACTTTGGATAATTTTGCCTAACGTTCTACATTGCACAGCTGCTTTTGGCCACTCACCCCCCCGGCTCCGAAGCCGAGGGATTTTAACACGTTTTGTTCTTTTCAGACAGTGCCTCGTGACTGGGGCTAAGGTGCTTCTGGATGATGTATTTATAGCAGTAATATTTAAAAACAAATAACCGTGAAAAAGGTTGTGGGACCTAATGCCATATATATTTTTGCATATTTAAGGCGCAGCATGTAATCCGTGCTCCCAAAATAAATTATATGGGGAACACTGGGATGCTCATTTGCAACAGGCAAGAACTGAAGCCTTGCTTAGAGCCAAAATTCTTCTCTTGGGTCTGCAGCTTAGACCCCAATGTAGCATCTGCCTTGCCTTTCTCTCGTCCCAGCACAGAGCTTCCAGCAGGTATAAAGCGAGGAGAGTTATGACATATGTGAAAGGAGAAACTGAGGTGGAGTGGGGGGCTGCTTTCTTTTCATTTCTTTACTCTGGGACTTAGTGGGGGGAAAAGTATTCATGAATTCGCGTATCAACCTCCCTCAAGTTTTCTCCCTAGGGTAGAGTTTGGGAAGGTGCTGTCCTGAGTGCACCTCTAGCCTCTTCCTTTTTCCACTCCCCCACCTCCAGCGAGCTGCAGCCGCGCCGGCAGGAAGGGGGGTGGAAGGGAATGCCACTGGCAGCTGCCTCCCAGGGGCTCCTGGCTCTGGTTCATCTGCAAAGCCCCCGAGGAGGCTGGAGAATTTCCTGAAGCTCGCTCCTCCTGCCTGCTCTGGTACCAGCATCTAGCAGAGGCCTCACGTGCCAGCTTCTTTTCTTTTCTTTCCAGATGCTGGCAGTCCCCTTATGTTTTCTCACTGTCCCTTCCCTCTTCCTTGCATACATTAGACTTGGGAGAAGGAGAAGGGAGCATCAAAGTTCGATGAGTGAAGGCCTTCTGGATGAGAGCAGATGGGAAGAGTAAGTTCCAGGAGATGAAAGGCTCTTCATAGCATGGAGGTTTGCAAAAAGGGCACGTCAGTGCCAAGTTGTCTTCACCCAAGTGGCATCCTCCTGCCGCTGCCTTTGATTGTCTCCTCCCGCTTCGTCTGAGATGGAGAGTTGAATCAGGCTGTTAAAGCTGGACTAGACATGTAATGCCTGATTTAGTTAAACTTTCTCTAAGCAATATTTATTCAGCATTTCAGAAGTCCTTAAACAGACAACAAATCGAGATCGTTGATACCAAAACATCCATAGCAGGAGTTTCCCCTTGGAAACGAGGTGTCAGCTTCATCAGTGGGTTGTTTAATTGTAACACGAAACAGAAGAAGTAAGTGAGCATCAGGGAAAAACAAGCAAAGAGGGTTAGTCTGGCAGTTAGCAGATCTGGCAGAAGGAATTAAGGGTAATTAATGACAGCAGTTGAAAAATAATGATTTAAATGGCAGAAGAATATATGCTTCCGTTTGTATATAGGGAGATATTGAAGTTTTGCAAACACAGTAACTTCTCAGGCCTCTCCTACCTTCAAATGGTGTTCAATATTGTTTTTTTAAAAAAAGAAAATCCAACCAGGAAATGGACTTGAATTAACAGTCATTTTCAAAGGAATGTTACTAATTCACACTTAGTTAATTCAGTTCAAATAACGGTGGTTTCTAAACAATGAGGTATCACTGAATGCCACAGTGAAACCTAACAGTATTGTATTACTTTTCCATTGCTTTGCCTGTAATTATTTTTAAATGATAGTTCATGTTGGGACAACCTTATAATTAAAACTAAGAGACAGAGGCTGAATTGTGTGCGTTTCCTCAGTGTTTCACTTGCTGCTATTTATTTGCTTGTTGCCTTACAAATTGGGGGAAGAACCACTGAAGTTGGGAGGCAAGTCATTCATTTAATTGGACTTTGGATTCTTTTATTACTAAATTTGGAAATGAGAAGGCAATGTGATGTGTAATGGATTTCCCTGTCAGTGGGGATTAGTGACTCTCTGCTGTGTTTCTCCCAGTTTGGGAGATCGCTTCAGGAATAGTTCCTGTCTACTAGGTGTTTATTTGTTAAAAGACTGCCTCCTATAGCATTTAATTAGCTTTGAAAGTCATCATTACACTTAATGCTGCTAGTTCTCTTTATCCCCGCTGAAACCAGGACACCACTTCTAATTCCTCAGAAAGCCATTGCACTTGGAACCATGTAACGTTCGTGTAGGAATATTATACAATGCCAATCTCAGTTATGTCATTAATGGGTGGATGGCAGGAGAGCTTGGCTATGCTGTGCTTCATTAAAATCAGATAAAATTGCTAATCTACCTCTGTGAAATGTCATGAATATATGGAAAAGTTAGCCTCTGGCAGGAAAGGAAAAAAGGAATAATGCAACTTCCTGTTCATGTATAAATTTCTTTTGCAGTTATTGGAAACACAGTTTTGAATTTAACCTCTCCCTGGTGAACTTCAGTTTCATGTGTGCTTTTAGACTGCCCTTACCCCGTTCATTTGTGCATGCTCTCGGTATTCGTTCTTTCATGCATGCAATAGTAGGTATATGTTAAAAATGCTGTTAATTGAGTGATTTTATTTTCCATCCCTGTTTGAATATGAACAAATAGATTTGCTGTCACTAACTGATTTAGGTACATTGTGGGCAGGCATCAAGACAGAAGGTGGATTGGCACAGTCACAGTCACCTGGACAGACAGGATTTCTAAGCTACGGTGCCAGCTTTAGCACACCTCAACCTGGACAGGCTCCCTATAGCTACCAGATGCAAGGTCTGTATAAACAGATATTACCATTAATTAGAAATAGCTAATGCTTATGGGTTTGGTTTTTTTTTTTCCCCCCATATTTCTTTACATTCCTAGAATAAAAATGAATGTTTGCTCGGGCGCTTACCTCTGATGTGATTGCAGTTGGAGCTGAAATGATGATTGCCTTTGCTGAGAGCAGTGACGGGCCAGCTCTCAGCAGTTTGGAAGATCCCTTGCTCAGTGACTTCATTAATTTTTAAATAGTGAAGTGCTGTAGTGTTATTACAGTAAAAATGTATCTCCGAATAGCAATGGTTTAACAAATAGTGAACGTGACGAACGAGTCCTGGAAAACGTGTCAGGATTATGTATTTAGGAAGTGCCAAATATAACTTGACACCTGAGTGTGTTTAGGGAGGGAGAACAAGATAAAAATACCTACTGCAGCTGTGGAGGTAGCTAAGTAATGATTGAAGTCTGTTTCTTTGAAGTCTATTTAAAAGCTGTAAGTCTTTGTATGTGTGGGCTATTATTATCAATTATATTTTGTAGCCTTACTTGTCTGTTTAATTTACTTAATATCTTTCCACCTTGTTCTCCCAGTTCCTTTTTCCCTTTCTGTATCGGGAAGTCACTGGGTGTGCCTGATTCTGGATTTTCACCATTTTAAGGGATATTTTTAAATATCTTTGTTTACTACATATAGCTAATTTGGATGTCTGCTGCAGGACTTTTTACCCCTGAATTTGACAGCTGAAAGCAGGTGTGTTTCAGATTTTAGAATTGTTGGAATAAGTGATCACTCACAGAATTGGACCACATTTTTTATAAGTTTAGCACCTCTCTCTGTTATTATCACGTTCCACTTAAACTTTGCGCCATCATGTAAACGCTCCATGAAACGTCTCGAGGCAGAAGTGCTTTCGGAGACCAAGTGAATGAGGTTTTGCTTTTGTTCCACGGCTTTAAGGGTGTATTGATCCAGTCCTTCGCTCAGACACGAGAGGTGTTTTTGGGGATTTTTTTTAAATCCTCTTTTGAACTGTGTGTTGAGTAGCTCCGTAGGGCAGAAGCGACCATCTGACATCTGAAGTGTTTCTTGCTTGTAGTGTGCTGTGACAAGTAAGGGGAAAATAGCATGAGAGTAGTGTGCAAACTTTCATCTACTTGCTGAGTAGCGGTGATCTTCTACTCGGCGGAGTAAACATAACCATAACAGGTTATTGGTTTTGCTTTCTGCAGGTAGCCACGCTAAAAACACCAAACACATATAGCCCTCTCAGAAAAAAAAAAAGAAAAAACAAAACACCTCTCTGTAGGAGAGAGCTCAAAATGCTTGCCAGCACCAGCTACGAGGAACTCCTGGATCGACATTCCAGCTTTTAAGGAACTGATAATTCATGGTCGCTAGGAAATAGAGTTATTGAAAAATCATGTCTGCTTTGCCTATAATTTCTATTGCAGTAGTGCCTTCATGCCACAGTCGTGTATTGGGATCCTGTTGTGCTAACTTATACAGCCAAATGAAAATATAGTCCCCGTAGAAGTTGGAGGGTAAAATAAAACACACAGGCTTATTAGGGCCTAATATAACAATAAAGCTGTCACAGTTTAGGTATAATAAACAGTCGTCACCCCATATTGGTTATCTAACAGCTCTAAAGGTGGGGTTTTTTTTAAGATACAGAGCAGAGGGATGTCAATAAAAAGGGATTTTAGGGAGGACAATGAAGTAGTTTTGCAGATGTCTATGGGAAACTCATTCGATGGAGGGAGGAAAGGGGGTGCAGCATGGGATGATGTGAGAGAGTGCTTTTTGGAAAATTTTAAGAGTAAGTAGTGAATTCTGACATTAGTAGAGCAAAGCTAGGACTCAGTCAAGGGACTACATATAGGTCTGTCATAAAGGGTATCGCTTTGTTTTCTGCGATATGCAAAATGTGTGTAAGATCAGAATTGTCAAGGTCGTGTAAGGGTGCTGGTTGTCAAGAGGTGGAACGGTAAGATCTTGGAAAGCCGTACACATTGAAAGGCAAGGACCTAAAAATAATCTGCAAAAGAAACGTGTTAAAGATGACCAGTTGTGAAGCTCTAACGAGAGGAGGGTCAGAGGCATTGATTTCATGACCGTACTGTCTGCAGGGCTGAGGGAGGAGGGGGATCTGAGCCTGGGTTCTGCTCCAGCTGTGCCGTGCTTGGGCTGAGAGCTGCGCGCCCATGGCAGGCAGCAGATCGCCGAGTCTGGCTTGGGTGGAAGAGCCACAGGTCGGAGTGGGAGAGTCTGGGGGTCCCCGTGGTGTTTGTGTCATCTCTGTTGTGCTCCTGAACACCACAGCGTGTGGATGAGGGAAGGCCTGGTCTCCTACAGAAACCTTACAGACCATAAGAATGGAAATAAGGAGAATATTTCAAATTAAAATACTGGTGGAGTTGTTAGAAGCTAAGTAGAAAAGAACCGCATTGCTGAACAGGTCTTTCTTGCAGTTAAATTTTGACAGTTTATATCTATACTATACATGAGAATATATGTCTTTTTAATGTTTTCATTAGGCTAACTTTTGCATTTGAAACAACTTTAAATTGACTTAATTCTTCCTTTTGATTGAACAGATGCTAAAAGTAAACAGGAACATTTGTTTCCCTTTCCTCATTTAATTTTGGAAGGAGAACCTATTCATAGTTTCAGCTGTTATTTAAGGACAAAATTGATTCTCTTGACAGAAGACGGGGGTAGTGTTGCTGCTGTTCAGTTGTTTGTGCAGAAACCTCCAGAGAGGAAAATGAGTTTATTCTCCCTCTTCCCTCTAGCAGTATATGGGCAGGCTGCAGCCTCAGCCTTGTCATAGCCTGCGATAGCCGTTCTTCATCTCCTGTGTGCGGCTGCTGAGCTGCTAAATGGAGATAATGGATCCCACAACCCACCTCACAACAAGCGTGACACGACAGCGTGCTCAGGGCCCTGCTGCTCTTCCTGCCTGCAGTAAAGGGGATTTCCTCGCGGCCTTGCAGTTGCCGTGCTCGTGCTCCCTGACTTGGGGTTACCTCGTGCTCGAAAGCTTTGGAGTTATTCTGGTTCCTCTCCCTGGGGCGAACGTCTCCCCGCGACGTAAAGGCGCTGCCTCGCGGTGCGCGCGCAGCCAATTAAACCCAGTGCTTTTCCTGACCCTGCTAAAATTACAGCGTGATTAGTCGCCGAACAATAGCGGACGAGAGACTGCCAGCCTTTGAAAATTATGAGAAAAATTGCCGCCTGTGACTCCTTGCTAAGGTTATTCTGGTAATTGGATTTTTGTTTGTTACAAATTTATCGTCCCTACAATGGGGGGCAAGGAGGGGAGAGGGTGGGCAGAGAACCTAGGCGGTTCTGCCGCCTTGTCTCCCTGCTACCCCCCGCCCTTACTTTAATGAGTATGTTCCTTAAGCATGTAAATTGCATCATAGATGTTGAAAGACCACTTACATGACTAATGGCTGAGGGAATGGGCCGTTGTTCCTATATTGGCGTCATTATACGGATTGCGCAGTGAGGAGAAATGGCTAGAGGAAACACCAAGGAAGGAGGTCCATTTCCAGCTGTCCTCTTGAGTATCCTTTCGGTTGTGATACAAGGGTGGCTTTTACCTGCACCCGAGTGTCCTACGGCTGGAAGGGTACTAGAGCTGCGATGAGCACCAGCATCATTTTAGTTACCAAGGCTGCGATGTTTGAGAATATACTAACCAATTGGTTTGGGAATTCATCCATAAAAAAGTAAAGTTAAGGTATTCGGTTATTATTATACAGTATAAAAATATTGTGCTGGATGGCTAAGCAGTTACTAAGACAACAAGGGGGAGTTTGCCAAGGATTTTTAAACACTGTAAGCAAACGGAAGAAACCTTGGGTTTAAATAGCCCATCTGGCCGTCTTAGGCTTCCCCAGGAGAGCTGCGCTAAACTTCTGCCCCATACGGTGTACCCTGATGATAGACATAGCCCATGGCAAGGAGACTGAGCTGGGAAAGCAAATGGGCTTCTGTGGCAAATACACAGGGGAGGACGTCATCCTGCGCATCGCGGCGGTACGGGGGCGAGCCCCGCGCCTGGAGCCCGCGCCCTGGTCCCAGCAGGGTCCGGCCGTCTTCCGACGCTGACTGAGATTCCCAGCTTTAATGTGGGTCCGTGCTCTTTGCAAAATAGACCTTTGACCTGCAATTTACAGCTTTTATCACATTTTAAAGCTATGTAGCTGGCCATACTCGCAGCAGTAAATCTCGTGCGTTTCGTAGAGATTCTTATTTTTGTGTTTGTTCAGCTAAGGCAGGAACGGCAGCTCTATGCCGTGCCGTGGCTGAGTATTTAAAAAACAAATGGCAAAATTGGAGTATTTTAAAAACAACTTTAGGCCAGTAGTTCTGGGTGGCCCACAGAGCCGTTTCTGAGAAACCTGCTTCATGTTTGTTACGGTCTCGGAGACCCCCACCCCTCCTCCATAGGAGCCAGTGCTGACCATGAGATGAAAGAGAGAGATCTGCGTGTTAGTATGTGTGTGTCTTTGTCTGAGAGGGAGAGATGCTGGCTGGCATGTAATTACTTTCCTCATTTGCTGTTGCAAATTATTTGCCAAACTTTCTGTGGAAAGATAATGTATTCCTCAAAAAAAGTTGTTGTTTTTGTTTTTCTTGTTATAACTATGAGAGGCCTTTTATATCTTTTTAGAATGGCTCAAACCATGCACCTATAAAACCTGTGTTTGAATGTATTACTGCATCACTCAGAAATAACTACAGAAATAAAAAGAGACACAGTGACTTACATTCTTCCAGCCAAAGCAGTCTTAGAAATAAAATAGCATTTCAAAGTTTTGCAATTTAAAATATTTTTCAGCTGTATTTTGGCTCTGGGGTTTGTTATAATAAAAAATAACATCTGTTTTCCAATTTTAAATTAAATTTAAAACAACATGTTTTTCTCATTAGTACTGTTTATCTGTACTATCTGCTAAACTTGGATGTCAACTCTTCTGCTGAAGTAATCTGATTTTAGTTCACAGGATTAGTAGCATCTATAAACAACCACAGAGCTTTTGCACTAATAGCAAATACAAGAGAAATGTTCTACAGTCATTATCGCACGTTAAGTTTAAGCTTCATCTTTTACTCCCACTGCTGTTGGACTTCACATCTCCTACTTTGAGGCTTAACTTGTACCTGGTTTTAGTAACTTTTGCAATCAAAGCATTTAAATATTTTTCCTTCTGACTTCTTAGAGCTAAGATACCTATTGGTTTGGGGTTTTTTTGTTTAAAAAAAAGTAAATAGCTCACAAATGCCCTTCAGGGGTTGTACCAAGCATGCAGCCCTGCCTGCATTCCTCGCTGTTTGGAGTTGCAAGAAATGTCACTTTTCCCAATGAGTAACTGCTGCGTAGGATTTGGTTGTTAATTGAGTTGTGTCGGGTACATCAGAGGATGGGTGCATCTGTGCGCCTGGCTCCCTGTTGATTTCCATCCCTCCTTTGCTCACCTGCAAGCTTTTGCTCCCAAGGTCTTGGCATATCTTTGCACTAAGGCAGGTTTTGGGGGCGAGGGAGGCTGTAAACAGCCCGTGAGCTTTAATGGGAGCTCCTCGCTGGCTGGTGCTCTCCCGCTGGACGAGTTCAATAGGTTGCCTCATTACAGACTTTCTGGTGGCTTGTGTAGCTTCACCCTGTGCATCCATATGTCTCAGCTGGTGGCTGTGTCACTCCCGGGTTATAACCAGCAAGGGCAAAACAGCTGAAAGGGGGTTGCTGCCCTTTTAGTGGAACAGCTTCTCAGGTTAGGTATTAAACAAGAGCCCCATCTGTCTATTTTTGGTGGCCCGTGAGGGGGGGAGGAGGGAGGTGAAGGCGGTAATTCAGTCCGGCTAAATTCAATCTCGGGTCTCCCTTCTCAGAGAGGTACTTTTTCCCCTTGTGTCATGCCTGGTAGACTCTATCAAAAAAGAAAAAGGTTTGCAGCCCAAGGCTGTCTGTGATCGATCAGTGAATCCTAATGGCTTTGCAGTTGGGCTGAGCTCTTCGGAGCCGGGAGTTATGGCTTTTGCTGCTCCTGCGAGGGGCTGAGGCTCAGGGAGGGGGGAGGACCTGGTTCTTGAAGGTGGTAGGAGAAACGCAGCCAGTGGACTTCAGTGAGGGGAGATGGCATCTCCCAGGACAAGGCTCACAGTTATTGTTCAACAACAACAACAAAAAAATAATGAAGCCCTCAGTACTTCCACAACACTGGGGATTATTCAGCGGGGCGGGATAGCCTAACGTTCAATCAGACCTGAGGTGGCTCCAAATTCCTGTCTAAATTTCGAGTTTTTATTGCAATAATGAAATACAGAGTGTAGGAAAGATGAATTATCACTTTCCATATATTAACATGTTATAGAGCTGATGACAACCAAATCTGTCGACATATGAGAAATATTACAAATATGCCATAGCCTTACAATATAATCACATGATAGAAGTTATTTTTTGATACTGTGTTTTAGTAATTCACATAATTTTTCTTTTCATTTCAGGCAGCAGTTTTACAACGTCATCAGGAATATATGCAGGAAATAATTCACTCACAAATTCTACTGGATTTAATAGTTCACAGCAGGTAAATTTGTAAATACGAGTTGAGGAAACTTTGTCAAACTTAGAATTCTCATCTGCTGAAAAAATGTAGCCCTTAAATAGCTTTTTGAAAGAAAATAGCATCCTTTCACATTACACTGATGTTTATAAATGTTTTTCTTCAATTTATCATCTTCCAATAGTAGAACTAGTTGTCTGGTGTTGATGTTCTTATTCACACCTCTTCAGCAGTGTGTCTAATAAATGCTTTGTATGAGAAGGCATACTAAACGATGTCTCATTTACATTTCGTTTTACTGCCTCACAGTTTTAGTTCCTACAGCATCCCATCCGGGAAGCATACGTGCTGAAAGTCTGACATGTGGTTGTAGTTATATTTTGGAATTTATACTGAAAAGTAGCAAAACTTTGATGGACTATTCAGTTGCTTTTTTGTCTTGCAGGAATATCCCTCTTATCCCAGTTTTGGCCAGGGCCAATATGCACAGTATTATAATAGCTCACCATACCCTTCACATTACATGACAAACAGCAACACCAGCCCAACGACACCCTCCACAAATGCAACATACCAGCTTCAAGAACCACCATCTGGCATCACGAGTCAAGCGGTTACAGATCCTGCAGCAGGTAATTACATGGATTTTATGGTCCCTATGAGGCACGTTTTTGTAAGTTGAAAGGAGGTTGAATTGGATTTTTTTTTTTTTGGTGTAGTCTTTGATTATTTTTTTTATTATTTCTTAATCCTGAGCCTGTGGCACGTCTTGTACAGATTCTAACAGAAAATAGACTAAAGAAAAACCAGGATCAGTAAAAGTTTTAAAGCTTCTGCGAAATACAAGGTTTTTTGTATTTATATGTAAAATGCTTGTGTTAAAAATTACAAGATATGGGATGGCCTTTACACTAAACCAGAACCTGATGCTTTTAAGCTCTGTCTTCATTAAGATAAAATCCTTTGATTTTTCCTAAGGAAGATGGAAATCAAGAGGCCTTCAGACCATAGCCCAACTGTCCACTTGAAAGAGAGCTTTTTTATTTTTCACTTTCAGAAGATATAATAATGCTTGTAATGGGGAGTTGAAATTGCACAAGTGTTTCCATTTTAAGAAAAGATTTTCAGTGACTTGTCCTTCTTCCCAGTCGTTTTACCTTTCTTGCTGGAATTTGGCAGTCCTGTACTAGTTGAGACATTTTTTGAACATTTATGCCAAACTGCTCCAGCTGTTTTTGGAAATGAAGGGTGAAAAATAGTTTTCCCATTATTAAAAAAAAAAAATACAGTTCAAGCATGTCAGTAGTTAGTCGGTGGCAGAAGTTTGCAATCTGTCAGAGAAAGTCCAAGGTTGCAGGTATGTTTCTCAGTAATGCAGTAAGAAGCAGCTATGATTTGGCAATGTTATCAGGAAGTTTTGTTTTGGAGTTTTGTTGGGGGAGGTTGTTTTTAGTTTTCTCGAAGTACTTGATAGGACTGATCTTGCATGTGCAATGTGAGCTTTAATATAATTTGCCAGGACTCTTTTGCTTTTCTGCATGACTGTGTACGTGAAGAAAATGTGTGCAGTGTTGCCTCTTTTGGTACATTTGCTGAAAGTACCTAGGGAACGTACAGCTGGTGTGTGTGTTTATATACAAGAGATCACATGTGTGTGCAATGTATTTGAGAAAGGAATCTTTCTAAATATACGAATGCATATTGGAGTCTGCATAATTACTCGTGGCACTTCGGGACATAGTTTAATGGGCATGGTGGTGTTGGGTTGATGATTGGGCTTGATCTTAGAGGTCTTTTCCAACCTTAATGATTCTATGATTCTACTATGCTTTTCACTTTTTAATTTTTGGTTTTGTTTTCTTGCGAGTTTGCTTTTCTTCTTAGGTGTGAAGCAGTAAGTTCTTCTTGCCTCAAAAAAGAAATGTGATCAAGTTTTAGCTTTTATCAAGATACTAAAATTGAATCATTGCATCATCTGGGTCTTGATTTTTTGCAAAATCTTTGCATACTTTTTTCAAGTAGTTGATACTTCCTAAAAGCAACAGTAAACACATACATTGAGAGAGGAGGTGTATTTCTCCCAAGCTCAGACTTAATGGCTTAAAGGCTGGCTTCCTATTTAAATAGCTTTCTGTGCCCTGTAAGTCTGAATAGAACTTCTTTATCAGCTCATTTTTACTAAGTCTTTCTTTTCTCCCTCAAATCTTTCACATTCTCGTTAAGAAAGTTTTGTCTAAAAATTTGAAGATGTTGGTGGGTTTTCTTATGGATGGGTCCTGCACCTAAGCCCTTTTCGAGTTTATGCTTTCATGTATTGAAAATTGTATACCCGTGGGTGCCTTACCACTGCTCACTTAGACATAGCTGTTCCTTGGACACGTGTACAACTCCTCTGAAATTGCTGGGACTGCTCTCTCTTTCCTTGAGATATTTATGTTACTGATCTAACAATTCTGAAAAAGTTTTTTCAAGTAGTTTACAAATAACAAGTCTTAATGTAGCTATAGGGTTAGCTTGGGGTGGCTGCCTGTATCACAGACAGGGACACATTTAGGAAGGGCTGCTGTGGGCCACTCTCTATTAGCAGGAGCTAATGGAATCATAGAATCATAGAATAGTTTGGGTTGGGAGGGACCTTTAAAGGTCATCTAGTCCAACTCCTTTCCAAGGAGCAGGGACATCTGCAACTAGATCAGGTTGCTCAGAGCCCTGTCCGACCTGACCTTGAATGTTTCCAGGGATGGGGCATCTACCACCTCTCTGGGCAACCTGTGCCAGTGTTTCACCACTGTCATTATAAAAAAATTTCTTCCTTAACATCTAGTCTAAATCTACCCTCTTTTAGTTTAAAATCATTACCCCTTGTTCTATCACTACAGGCCCTACTAATGTCTGTCAACATCTTTCTTGTAACCTCCCTTTTAGTACTGGAAGGCTGCAAGAAGGTCTCCCCGGAGCCTTCTCTTCTCCAGGCTGAACAACCCCAACTCTCTCAGCCTGTCCTCATAGGAGAGGTGTTCCAGCCCTCAGGTCATTTTTGTGGCCCTCTTCTACACCAACCCACTCCAACAGGTCCCTGTCTTTGCAGTGCTGAGGACTCCAGAGCTGGACGCAGGACTCCAGGTGGGGTCTCACCGGAGTGGAGTAGAGGGGCAGAATCACCTCCCTCAACCTGCTGGCCACGCTGCTTTGGATGCAGCCCAGGATATGGTTGGCTTTCTGGGCTGTAAGCGAACGTTGCTGGCTCATGTCCAGTTTTTCATCCACCAGTACCCCCAGGCCTTCTTGGCAGACCTGCTCTCAATTCCTTCCTCCCCCAGCCTGTATTGATTCTGGGGACTGCCCCAATCCAGGTGCAGGACCTTGCACTTGGCCTTGTTGAAGGTCATGAGGTTCTTTCTGTTCCCCTTCACTAACAGGGTCGCAGTCGCCAGAAGGTATAGGGCTAGATCCAGATTTCTCCATTTGTCTTTATGCACTTGTCTTTATGCATTTAAGTTAGGATTAAGCCCATTTAGTCTCTTTCTGTATTCAGTGGAGAGAGATGAGTACCTCTAGAGCAGTAATTAGATTTCTGTCTAACTACAATCTTAATCCAGAGGTGCCAAAGTCTCTCCACTGGTATGAGCAGTTTAAGGTGATTAATATACCAGTGTTGGGTTCCTAGGTTAAAATTAGGTGAGAACCTTTCAATGCCTCACAAAGCTTGAGCCATGGTAGAAGGGAAGTGAGAACCAGTTAGTGAATCCAGCACTGTGCCTGCCATTTCCCCTTGTGCAATGTCTTTTTTTTTTTTTTTTTTACTTTTTTCTCACAAACCTCAGTTGAGCTCATACACAGTATGCTTGGGAGATAAAGCAAGGTTGGGGTCCAAGAAAAGAGAGATCAGCATAGAGGAAGGGAATTCTAGTGGAGTGGGGACAAGTGAAAGGCATATAAGAGCAAAGGAAATTCACAGTTGGATCAAAAACACAGAACAAAGCAGCAAACTAACCCAATTTTAATTACAGTTAGTCAGATTTCTGTAGAATGTTTTACCTCATCTGACCAAGTTAGGCTGCTGATTCTCTACCACGAATGGAATGCTGCATATGAGGGATGGTGGGGAGCAGTGCAGAGCCATCACGTTGAGCTGCTCTACCTCTTTAGTAGGATGGGCTCCAGCTGCTGAATTGCAGCTGTTCTTGATGGATGTTGATATCCCTAGACATCTTCTATATTTAAAAAACCCATGTAATCCGTGTGGTTCTGAACTATGCCAGGACAAGCACAGAACAGCCTTCAGACTTTACAGAGGCACCAGAATAATTTGACAGACATAGGTGGTTCCTGTGAATTTGGGCCAGTAAGTGAAACAGAAGAGTCTGGTAAGAAACATGTGAAAAGAGAGAAAGTAATTATGTGTTCTTGTGACATTTTTAGTAGAGTTTTGCAGACTCAGAAAGCTCAACTAATTTCACTTAAATATGTTTAATTCCTTCTCCAAATATAAAATGATCCTCTTCTGGTTTCTCACAATTTCTAGTTAACTATGCAACTTCTTGCCATGCAATCCAGGACGTCCAGGTATTCTTGCAGAAGAACCTGAGATTTTCCATTCTCGGTGTTTCTTCTTTCTCTTTTCTGGTAATGGTTGTTCTCTTGTTCTTATGTTAACAGTTCTGGACCACTGCAGGCCTTATTAATATAGTTGTTGTCATACATACCTAATATATACTGGTTTACATAATATGTACTGTTAATATTATATTTTGTAATTATTTTGAATATACAATCCCAAATCAAAAAGTCACTTGAAATGAATAGATGTTTTTGCCAATATTTTTAGCAGATTATTGAGGGTTTCTGTCAAGTTCATAGTAGTATGCTAGTAGTCCTCAAGAGACAAACACTGGTTTTGTTTTTCAGAGGGAGAAGATTTTGACATTTGTCCAAACAGCACTAAAGACTTCATTCTATGATGCTGTCAGCAGCATTTTCTATTTTCTGCAATACTTATTTAGTACTTTACTTACTTACTGTTATAGTAGTAGTATTTTTTTTTTTTTATAGAGAAGCAGAAAAAATCCTCAAATACCTATGTGATTCTGCTGCATTGTTTAATCCTGGACCAGTTTTATGTAAGCGGTAAAAGAGAAAGTTTGTATAGTACTCGTGAAATTTTGTGCTTAGCTTTCTTCATGCAAAAGTAAGAAAATCATAGCTGACACCAACATATTCAAACTACCTGTACCTTATATTTTTATTTTGGTATACAGGAGTGGAAATAACACTGGCCTCCAGATTTAAGGTCTTTACTTGAAATTAAGTGTAAGATTTGGGGGGAAACCATTAACCTGGGCACAATCTAAATGGTAAATATTTGGACATACCTATTTGCAGAGACATTTGACTATACTAGCTATCCTAGACCCATCTCATCAATGTGATTTACATTATGACATGAGATATGATTACTTTAGTAATGTGCATTTACTCCTTTTTGCATAGCCTTTCAGTGTAGTAGGGAAAAAATCTAATGAAATTTGCAATGCTTTTGTCAACAGCAAGAGCTCTACCCACACGCTCGCCAGTCAGATTTACGTACAGATAGACTTGATTTTGAGATTTCTGGGACAGCTAGTTTTCTCCA